AAAAAGCCATATGTGGTGGTGCATAGCTGTAACTAGCACTGAGGGGTAGAGGCAGAGACTGAAAGATGCCCAGAGGTCATCAGCCAGCCAGTGTAGTGCATCAGTGCTCTCTTGGCTCAGTAAAGATCCTGTCTCCAACGGTAATGTGGCGAGTGAGAGAAGACAGTGGGCGCCCATCTTTGGTCTCCAGGCACACTTTCATGGTCCTATGCACAACCTCATATCTACATGCACATGAAGCCCTCGTGCTCGCGTGACGTAGACTCACACCCACCCAGACACAAAGGAGAGTACTTAGTGAATGCACTTGAAATTCTGCACCTCACGGAAGGCCACAGTTCAGCATCAAAGGGGTTTCCCTGGGAATTAGCAGTTACCTGGCACTCGCGCTGGAGACCAGGCTGTCCTGGAACTCACAGAGATCTGCCTGCCTCTTCCTCCCCAGCGCTGGGATTAAAGGCGTGCATTAAAGTTTTGTTTTAGCTATGATGCTCACCAAAACCTGTGGACACCTCTCACAACATTAAGATTAAAAGCACTTGAGCTCACCTAGCATCTGGGACTCAGTGGTTTTCCTTGATTGGTAACCTAAGCCACAGTCTATACTGCTCCTCAAGAGAATCTCATAAGTCCTAGCTGTGTGGCACTCCCTTGGTCCCATTTCTACCCTCTGCAACCCCTGCTCTATCAGGGGTAGGGGGCAACACTATATCCTACCTTTACCTATATTAATTTTCCCACTAAACTAACCTCTATCATAATCCCTTATTACATTTGTTAAAAACCCTTAATCATCAAAATTCCATCTAAATTAGCACTATTATTGTATAAAATGTTTACTTCAGTTAAACAGTACAACTTAAGAGGAATGATCTTAATAATCCACAGATAAAAATGCCCAGTAGACTGGGATATTTCCATGAGATAATCAAGGCAATGGGGATCACCACACACACATTCACACCATGCCAGACACCAGAGAAAAATGGCAGTGGCGAACACGTAAAGGCACAGCAGTAGCAAGGAACATTCTGGAGCCGAAGCCCTGCAGACCTTGCCTATCCGAGATTCACCCATCAGTGCTTTGCTTCCTGGTGGGCCAATCTCCCGAAGCTCAGTTGCCACCTGCTGCTCCTCTGATGTGGCCACTGCCACCCAACAAGTCCATTTAAGCAGGAAACAGGTCAGCCATCACCCAAATTCCTCTTCAGAAGGCAGGTCTGAGAGACGAGAACATGAAGTAAAACCCGGCCAGGCAAAGGTCCTAAAAGCAGCAGTTCCAAGAAGGTCTGTCATCTCATCATCCATTCTATCCTTGCCTGAAATACAAGAAGGAAGTCCTGGTTTCCTGTCATCCTCACTCCTCTCAGTGACCAGGCATTTTGTAGGTGTGCCACTGAGTGGCCTCCCCATGCCTCACCCCAGTTCCTGCTATCAGTGTTATAAAAAGCTTCAGACTAGCAGGTGTTTGATGGTACCGCTTCCTGGAACCTGCTCCTGCCATCCAAAAGCTCTACCTTCTTTCTCCTAAGCACCCAGCAATAAAACTCCTTTCTAAAACTCCCCCTCTTGCCCATGAATTTCAAATCCACACAAGAACTTGGAGCCACTGGAAATTTTGTACGGCCATGAGCTTGCAGCACTCCTGAGTTCAAGTCCACCAGAATGGAGACAGAAAGTCTCTGACAAACTCAAAAAACCCACCACCACCACCACCACCACCACCACCACCACTTCTATCCTCTTCAGGACAATGTAAGAAATCAAAACTAAAAGGGAAACAACGTGTAATAGTTGAAACTAAGCATTACAACCTGAAAAGTACAGTGACCCATCACAGAAGGTGCAGTGAAGGAAAATCTGGTTGCCTAGACTACCACAGAGGAATATGAGTGTGCAGCACAGGGTTCTAGGCTCCTAACCCACCATAGGGACACCCCTCAGGTTGCCAGACAGGGTCTTACCCATGTGATATCTCTCTTGCTATCCTAAATGCCGGAACAGTACCAAAGCAGCTGCCAACAATGACACCCCAAGGACATTACTAGTACTCAGGGACATCCCCCATAATGCACCCAGGATGGGTCTGATGGGGGAGGTCCTTCTGTGTATATGTTTGTCTTATTGGTTGATAAATAAAGCGCTGTTGGCCAATATGGAAGCAAGTTAGCCAGGACTAGAAGAGAAGGAGGATTCTGGGAAATGTAGGAAAGGGAGAGAGTCGCCATGTGATCCCAGGAAGAGAGGACACATGCCGCTGGCATCCTCCGTAAGGTAAGTCTTTATAAAATATATAGATTAATGGTTATGGTTGATACTTAAGACAGAGCTAGCAAATAAGAAATCCCAGTCATTGGCCAGTAGCATTGTAGCTAATATTAATCCCTGTGTGTTAATTGGGGGCCCTAATGTGGCGGCGGAATTCAGGCGGCTGGCAGAAAGAGTTATCATTACATGGGTCCAGTTCTCAGGGGGTTGCACACACAAGGACCCCAGGGGAGGTCCAGTCTGCAGGGAACTGCTTTAACACTACTCACTAACTCACCAGGGCAAGCCTTTTACCAAAGTGGGTCTATCATAATGCTTATACAAGTGTCAGTATCCGGAGGACCATAAACGGGCTGCTTCCTAATGTAGAGTCAGTACTGAGGAGGCATCTGTACTTCCCTCACTGCAGGACAAGCATCCCGAGGGCTTCTCTCACATGGCTCCTAGGACAAACCCAATACCAAGAGGGTTATCCACATCTGTCCTCCAGGTAAGTCCAGCAGTACCTATGGGGTCTGCCTCCTTGATGAATTCAGGACAGTCACTAGAACACTGAACCCCATCCTGTATCCTGGGGCAGTATCCTGGGGCAAGCTGCAAACTGACCACCAGAGAACTGACTGGTACTTGTGAAGCCAACTGCATGGTTTTCAGTTTAGAGTTAATACCCAGGTGACCATGTGCACACGGCCTCCAATGGAATATTACAGGCTGGTCTACTTAAACCCCAGGACCAGGAGGTACCCTCACACTTTTGCTGCTCCAGGCCCTGTGCTACACTCTGACCTGAGCACAAGTTCAGAACCGACAGGGCCACATGCGCCATGCAATCTCTACACGTGTAGATGCAGTAGCTAGGGGATGACCCGCACTGGCCAAAATACAGGCTTAGTACCCAGAAGGCTGTCAGCATGCTCAACTAAGGGCAGGCAGTACCTTGGGGATTCCACAGAGGCTGGCCTTAATTCAGGCTCAGTGCCCAGGGTGGCCAACTGAGAATACCACCTTTCACTGACAATGAACACCTATAGGAATTCAGGGGTTCACTATGCCTGCGTCACTGGAATCTTCCCATTTCCTCCATCCCAACTTCCAGGAACTTCCCATTCTTTTCTTTTGCAAGCAGTGTTCTCATTTCAAGAGCATCCTGCAAGGCTGGAACTTCTATCCAGACAACTGGTGAATGAGGTTCTGCAACCTTGGCTTTGCAACTATGGAAGACACAGTCCTCCTCCAAGTCTCCACAGAAGCTTTGGGGTCCTTCACAGAGCACATGAGCTGGGAACTCAAATCCCTGAGTTAGTCCTTTACTGCACCCTACTGTCCAGCAGTGGAAGGATCAAGGAGCCAACCTTGCTTGATCTACTGCCAGCTCTCACTTTTAAATCACTGATGCTCTGGTTACTACTGGAGATACAACAGCTCTCTCCTATCCTTGTGGGCTGTGTTCTGACATACAACCCCTCAGTGGATGTTTAAAACTGAAGCTATCACTTGCAGTGAACCCCATATATACTGGAAATCTTACGTCCCAGACCCTAGCAGCCAAAACTGAGGATCCCAGGGCCATTCAGGGAATGACCACAGGGGCTATCATAACAACCGCCACTTACTGAATACCACCCATTATGCACAGCATTAAATACCACACTACCCAATCAACAAACCTCCAAGCACCCAGAAACCTCTTGGTACCCCAGACTACATAGCTTGCCCATGTCCCACAGACCCTGACTGCTCTGTTTGGATTTCAGTAGGACCCAGCAGGACTCATCTGGAGCTAAGCCTCCAGGATCTGATTACATCTGTATGTCAGGCAGTCTGGGACTGTCTCCTCAGGAGCCAGTGGGACCCAGGCATCCTTCCCACACTACCTTTCTAGCTTAGTTCTGAGAGGCAAGTTTCTCTCCCCACACTGAGGTCGGTTAGAGCTTGCTCTACTCCGACCCTTAGCCTCGACACTGAGGAAGCTCCCAATGCTTTACCACAATTCCCCAGGAGGTAACTGAGGCACATGGGTTGATCCTACTCTAATGGCAGCAGGAATCAGGAAGCAAAGCCTGATTTAGATAGCTGGGCAGGAAGTAGAGGCACAGCCAGAATCAGACCTTTGTCCACACAATGTCCTCTCCTCTGATGGCTTTTGAGCCTACAGTGGGCCATGATCCCTAACTCACTCAGACGGCGCTGGGCTTGTCAGAGGTGCAGAAGCCATGTGCCCCTCCTCAAGAACTCTGGAAAGTATGAGTAGCTTTCCTGCAGGTGAAATCCTTCACACCAAGGGCAGCAGGGTGTCTCATCTCTTGAGGAGGGCTACTCAAAACGACCGGATGCAGGATGCAGGGGGCTGGGGAGGCTGGAAATTTAGAGAGTCAAGTGATTCTGCTTCTGAAAATCCCCTGGATTCTTCACCTCAGCATCCCCTGTGTGTGGTGAGTGGTAGAAAACTCCCTCTCCCCCAGGGCAGGAGGGAGGGTGCTTTGCTCATGGGTCTCACTTCTCTTCCTTCTCCCCTGCAAATGATGACAGCTTAGAAACCTCTCTAAAGGAAGTGGTTGTTCTTGTGGCCCCGGGTCCTGGAGATGAAGTGCTTCTGGTTAAAATGATTCAACGAGAAACCCCGCCCCCATCAAGGCTATCCCACCCTGCCTTGGTGCCGCGGCTCTACTTACCACCCACCTCTAGACTAGTTAGCCTTGGTCCACCGCATGCTGACCTTCATCCAGGCAACCATGTGGCTGGCCATTCTACTTGCCCTCTGCTGCCTGACTTCCGACTCCCAGGGGGCATACTCCCCAGGTAAGAGAAGGGTCATCCGGACGCATCTCAGTGTGGCTGTCTGGACCATCTTGTATGTAGGGGAGGCATTGGGGACCTGGCCTCCCAGTCTTGCAACTTTCCCAGGACACTCTTGGAGGCCTGGGAAAGACCCTGGACAAGGGGCTCTAGATCCTGGTAACAGCTACTTCCAACTTGTCAACATCAGGGATAGGGAGAGCAACTTCTGTTCTGTTCTGAACTAGGGCCCACCACAGAGACAGGCAGAGGCAGAGGCAGAGGCAGAGGCAGAGGCAGAGGCAGAGGCAGAGGCAGAGGCAGAGGCAGGGGTCTCAGTCAAACAGCCTGTGTTTAACTTTTTTTTTCCTGCCTGTGACTTTACTGTAGGGACCCCAGTAAGACACTCATCCTTCCTGCAGTCAGCATGTTGGTGGTCAGTGAGGGGTGGAGTAAGCTGAGACACGGGCAGATTAGCCGATTTGCTAGCCCAGCCATGAATGCCTGTTTGCCCACAGAGATCTGGGTGATAACTGCTCCTGCAAGCAGATTCGGCACACAGATAAAGTTTGGGGGCCCTGCCTCTAATGGACAAGAATGCTGATAACTGACCATCTCCCACCAAAGGAGGACAGCACTTATGCATAACGCTTTTGTCATTCTTCCTGTTTGAAGCAGGCTAGATCCAGTCACAGGGGATCAGGCAGAGGGTTCAGGGAACCCACAGTGAAAGGGAATACCCAAGAGACACCAGGGACATGGGCTCCTCCTTCATAGCAAACCAAGTGCCAAGAAGTCAGCGGTAGTGTCATCAGTGGGGGAGGGGGGACACACAGCCTCAGAATCCAAGACCTGATGGGTTTGCTGTGACTTGGGCACTATGGAGATAGGACAAGAGCGGGGGAGGGCAGCTTCTGCTCTGAGACAGGGACAAGCCACAGCAGCCCAGTGGGTGGTGGGCAAACAGGTAGTTAACAGAACTGGCAGCAGAGGAAAGAAAGACCAAGTGTAGGTAAGGCCTCAGATCCGACTACCAGTGTCCTGCTCCCTGCAGCCTTCCTGCTCGCTAAGAGGCCCTTCCTGCCTCCCTCCTATCTCTATGCCCCAGTTGTCCAGGGAGAGACATGGGCAGAATCTGGGGGCTCATTCTACAAAGCCCTCTTGCCTATGTGAGAGGTTTGGGGAAGGCACCAGTGCCAACTGTCTCACCTGTCCTGGAGTTTCATTATTTATACTCTGTGTTTGGAAAATGCTGTACTTGCATCCTCTGGATCGTAACTGAACAGAGTAGCCACATCCACAATGTGATAGTTAACACTGCCTTTGGAGGAGATATTGGAGAACTGTCAGTTCCCTGTCTCTACCATGTTACTGTCCTACTGGTGTGTGAAACTGAAAGGAGTCCTCCCCATTCCTCCTGCCTACAGCAGCCTCTCTGGGTCACCTCCTTCAGGCCTCTCTGTCACAGACCCAAATGAATGCCACCCTCACTCTGGAACCTGAGAGCACCACAGGCCCTGTAACTACCAGCTGAGGATTCTTGAACTTCCAGTCTGCCCTTTGAAGTGGCCAGTAAACTGCTCCTGACCAGAGTCTTAGTCAAACTGGTTCAGGGATGACACTCAAAAGTGCTAGGAGGCCTGGGGTCCTCCTGACAGTACCCTCCCACCAAGTCTGTGGTCAGGCCTTTGCTCTGCTGTGCTAATGAACCCCACCTTTACCCACTGAGGTACCACCCTTCCTGATGCTTCCAGTAAGAGCCTCGGCCATAATATAGGGGATGCTCAGGCACCTCTCTCAGGACAAACAGCTGGGAACCTGGACCCCTGAAGGCCATCACAAGGCAAGGGCAACAGGGAGGCTGAATATGTCTGATCTGAACACATGGCTTCACTCTGTAGCTAGGAGTTAAATTGCCCATACCCCCATGTAGAGCCCAGGGAAGTATCCCCAGTCTTCAGAATTTAGGAAATTGCCACACTCAGTCTTCTTTCTCAATGTGTCACCTCTTCCAAGAAGGTTCCCTGCTGCTGGTCACACTCTTCCTCATCCCCTGCCCCTCTCCAGTACGATGTCTGTTTGCTTAGGCAAGAAGCCTACAGCCATGCGGCCACCTGCTTCCCATAGAAAGGCCTAGAGACATAGCTATGCCTGGGTATGACAGATTCCCCTAGTAGGCTCTTGAAACTGGTACAGACTGGGGCTGGACCTGAGTGAACCACTGGCCCAGCCTGTGTACTAGGATTTTCAATGACTATGTTTGTCCTCAGAGATCCTTCCTGTGGCCATATTGTACCTGATACCTACAGTACTGAATAATACTAACTCTATTTCTTCATGTCAACTGCCTCAATTTATTCTTACCTGGAGAGGTCAGTGTCATCATCACCCCCAGATGGAACACGGAGGCTCAAGAAGGTTAAGCAGCTCACACAAGTCAGCACAGCTGATAAGAACAGCTCAAAGTCTAACACTGCCTCAAAGAAGCCCACTCCCTAGCCTAGTGTTGAGGACTAAGTCTGTCCCATCATCTAGCTGAGGCAGACCAAGGCACCTCCCCCCACCTAGACCCGTGTCTAGGCTGAGCATGGTATCTCTCCATATAGAATGGGCTCCACTATTCAGTTTGTTAGATCTTGGACCCACTGCCAGTGGCCAGTCACGCCATTGTCACCTATATTAAGGGAATCTAGTTCGGTTTTATGCTGGTTCCCCATTTGTCAGACCTGAGTCAGTGATCTCTCACTAGCTCAGGTCAGCTGTTTCTGTGGGTTTCCCCATTATGGTCTTGACTTCTATGTTCATATTATGGCTCCTCCCTCACTTCGACTGTACTCCAGGAGCTTGGCCCAATGGTTAGTGTATTTCTGCATCTGCTTCTATGGAAGAGGGTTCTAGCTTCTCTGGGGTTGTGGATTGTAGGCTGGATATCTTTTTGCTTTGTGTCTGATATCCACTTATGAGTGAGAATATACTATATATTTGTCTTTCTGCTTTTGGGTTACCTCACTCAGGATGGTTTTTTCTAGTTCTGTCCATTTGCCTGTGAATTTTAGGATGTTGTTTCTTAATGCTGCCTTTTTTATATTCATATACAATTCATCCCTGACCATTGAGGGAAAAAAAAAGTTAAAAATAAAAAGAAACCCAAATTCAAGACATTAAGAAGCACAAGCCGGGCCTAGGCCCTATCCCAAAGGATACAATAGACTCTGATGACACCCTATGAAAGGCCTCACCATCCAAGGGGAGCAGAAAGGATATGTGATAGGTAGGGTTTTAGTTGTGGGGGGTGGTAGGGGAGGACAGGAGGGACAGGGAACTGGGATTGTCATGTAAAACAATCTTGTTTCTAATTCAAATAAAAAAATCTGCAAAAAAAATTTTTTATTTAAAATAAATAAATAAGAAGCACAAGCCACTTTCTGCTGTAGGGAGCAAACTGGCTCACTGATTCTTTTAGTTTGCTACTAATTAAGTCCAGACTCTGAAACTAAGGGAGCAAATTCACTTCAGCCACCCTGGCCAATGGGATTCTGGGAACGGATCCTATGAATGAGCTGGGCAAGGGACTGGATCAGGGTCTCCAATGAGGTGAGTCTTTTTCAGGATCAGTTAGCCCCATTGGGACTCTGGGAGCAGGGAGTCCCAAGAGGGAAATTGGAATTCCAAGTTCTACCTAGCTGTAAAATAGATGCCCCCTACACCATTCCCCCATTTTTTACACACAAATATGGACTCCTTGGTACAGGAAAACAGGTCTAGGTAGAAACCAGCTGACTAGCCTCTCACACCCACAGCATGCCAGGCTCTGGACCCAAAACTCAAGGGATAACATTCACTCAGCAGGAGGGAGAAGATCTGTATACCAGTTCCTTGGGAGCCAGTGCACGAGAGGTGTGAGATCACAGGCTGTGTTTAAAGTGTGCCTGAGCAGACATGCACAAAGGCCACTCTGACAAGGTGGAGTGCACGAGGGACACTAGGGGAAGCACAGCCAGCCTCAAAAACAATCTGGGCAAATTAACGCTTTTCCTATCTAAAGTTCTACTGTCTGGGGCTCCATGTTGAGAATAAACCTGGGTTCTGAAAAAACCATATAAGCAGGGACCAGGGGACTGGAACTATACTATTGGACAGTCCATGGCATCTGTCCTCAACCTCAAGTAAAGAACGTACTGAGGATGCACAATATTCAGATGGCAGCGTAAACAGGAGGTGGGCACACTGGTGAAGACGGAGGAGGAGCTGGGACCACAGAGCTGAGAGAACTGGGTACTACCAGGAAATAAGGCATAACCCATTGAGCCAGTATTCCACTAACATCAATGTTTTTGTTTTTTTTTTTTTTTTTCTGATTCTTTTGTTTCTTTCAGATTTTTGTTCCAAAGATTTGAACTCCAGTGTGAAGCCAGGATTTCCCAAAAAAATAAATACCAATAACCCAGGAGTGCTTAAGGCAGCCAGGCACAGTGTGGAAAAGTTCAACAACTGCACAAACGACATCTTCTTGTTTAAGGAGTCCCGGGTCAGCAAAGCTCTGGTACAGGTGAGGAGCTAGGACCAGCAGCTGGTCCCTCAGGACAGCTCTGAGGAGCTGGGCCACATAGCCTGTTACCTACCGTATCCGGGCAGAGTTGCACTGCAGCTAAGACCAGTGTCACCCAGAGCTAAGCATGACAGCTGGGGACCTTTTCTTAATAAAACCACCAAGCCTCTGGCCAGAGTCCATCAATGACAACAAGAAATGGCAGTGGAGGAATAAGGGGCCTACAGTGGTGTGCTGAGGCTGACAGCCCAGCAGGGAGGCCACAGCATACTAATCAGAGCTGCCCTACCAGGGTCCAGGGTCTGGGTCATCTCCTGTCAGTATCCCTCACCCACAGTCCACAATTTTCCCACGGGATCCATTCATTTTCCTCCTAGAGCTGGGCCCACTCCCTTCTCAGACCCAAAACCAATTCTTCCTCCAGTCTGCCCAAAGTCTGTCACCATCCAAAGTCAGCCTTCTTAGTGACCGATTATATCCACTCAGAACTTTCCTTCCCTGGATATCCTAGAGGGCACAGCCAGCCTTGCTAATCTGTGTGTCCCAAAAACAAGTGTTAACATGACAGGGGTGAGATGCCTGGCAACCTCTCATTTGCTGTACATAAAGGCCCTGTGTAGCACTCTGCTGGCATGGCGAGCTGACTTTCAAAGCCCGTGTGCTGGGGCCTGCAGGGAAAAGGCTACAGAAAGGCCGTGCTCTGAGGATGATGGCTTTACAGCATTCATGCTTGTTCCAGGCCACGGCATCAGGGCAGCTTCTATAGTCTTCTTTTGGCAACTATAAGCTCTTTAAGAGTGTATGTTGTATTAGAAAGGATGCTTTGTGGACACGCTGGTGTGTGGCACTCTCAGCACTCCCAGGACCAGCCCCAGATCCCTGGGCCTTAGTGCCCACAGTCCCCCACAATGCACAGAGCATTCTCCCTGTGTGCTCCCGTGACGTTGGAGACTATTTCGCATGCTATTTGATTAAGACTGAGATTATTCCTCCAACTATACAGAAACCACAAACAAGAAAAGAACTAAGACTCAGTTGTGTCCAAGTGGAGAGGGCTATTTTGAAACTCAAAATCCGTTAGTTTCCACAAGAGTGCAGAAGCCAGAAAGCTTGACACCCATTTAAACACCACTGCAGGTCAATGGGGGCTTTTGGGTAGGTTGAGATGACAGATAAGATGGAGAGTCTGGCGGGCTTGACCTGTGGCTGTGGCTATCCCACCGGGATGTTTCTCCAGAGTGCAAAGTTCCAGGTAGAAAACAGCTACCTAAAAAGAGGCTATGCGGCACTGCCAGCAGGCAAGGAAGACAGATGGCTGAAGTCTGGGTCTGCTCATCTTCAGCAGCTCTCCTGGCAAGTCCTGAGCTTGCCTTCCCTGTGCCCAGCTCCACAGCACCCTCCTTACCTCCCTCCTCACCAGCTGGAGAGGCAGTCATCCCCACCCCTTGCATCCTATACCAAGCAATCTACTTCTTGGGTCTTTGGTTTCTTCAGGTGGTGAAAGGCCTGAAATACATGCTGGAGGTGGAAATCGGCAGAACTACATGCAGGAAGACCACGCACCCCAATCTGGACAACTGTGACTTCCAAACCAACCCTGCCTTGAAGAGGGTAAGGCAGAAGAGCCTGTCTACTGAGTCTGGTCCTCCCCATCACCCAGCTCACCTTTCAGGACGGTAGTCCCTTCATGAGTACCACACCTCCACACCTCATTCCCAAGATGTTCCCTCCCAACCACGAACATGGGACAACAGGGGCAGGCACACCCTCAAGGGACACAGGGTTGAAAGGCAGTACTGTCCCACCCCTCACATGACCTTTACCACCTGACTTTCACTTCTGGAGGCATCTTTGCAGAGAAATACTCTGAATTTGGGATAAGGAGATTATAGCAGGTTAAGTTTTCAAATAATTCAGAAATCATACACAATGCCTACATACATAGAATATTACATATAATATACATTATATTAATCATATATATTAAATATATATGTGTGTACCATGTATGATATTACTACATATGATCTCTACAGGGAAAAAGCAAAAGCTATGTGGGAAACTTTAATATTCTGTAACTATAGGTAAGAAACATACATTCTAGAATCACTCCAACTTTTAATAGGTTTGAAGATTTTCAAGATAAAAACTGACGGTGGCTAAGGGGGAAACTGCCTCAGCACAGAATACATGTGCATGCATACACTTTCACACACAGCTCCCAGCTGCCTGGCACGCACAAGGGGGTGGGTAGAGTCTCTGTGGCAGCTGGGTTCTCAGATGAGCGCTTTTGGTTTGTTTCAGATTCTACACTGCTACTCTGAAGTCTGGGTCATCCCCTGGCTCCACAGTTTCCAGGTACCCATTCTCCACTGCCACTGACTTCTGCATCTTCAGCAAGACCAGGGCTGTGATAAATATACACTCGTGTACCCTGCTACTCCTTCCTTTCCACCCCAGCCTGGCCATCTCAGATCCTCAGGGCTTCTTCCCAGTGAGCAGATGGAAGTGCCAAGTGACTAGGATGGGAGAATACAATGTCCTCCTGGCCACATTAACTGTATTCACATTTTCTTCTAAAATTAATTCTTCTCTGCTGCACACCCAGATTCAGGATGTGGGCATAGACAGAATCCTTTGATGGCATTACTAGAGCACGGGTAGAGCAAAGCAGACACAGTCAACAAAGTAGCAGTGTGGGAGGGATCTTGATACCTGACTGAACAGATTCTGTATCCATCTCTTGTCTACCATTAACATGACACCACTGCTGATGGGAATGGTTTATTATAAATAAAAAGTGGATAGCGGATCATCTCAAAGCAATACTGCCTATGCGACCGTTTACAGGAACCCAAGAATGTGGGTAGCCTGGTGAATTTAGCCTCGGGAGGCTCCATATAGTGATAAGCTATAAACACAAGTGTGCTGAAGACCTAAGCAACTGCCCAGACCTTGTCATCAACATGGTAACAGCACCCAGGGAATAGAGACAAAGCATTTCTGAAGGAACAGCCCCTTCACCCAAGTTCTCTGCTGACATGAAGGCTAATAGTTTGGGAGTACTCAACACATGGGGAACAGGCTCAACACAGAATAGGGTAAGTGATGGGACCCCCTCAAAGCCATCCACTGAAGCAGATGGTGCCTGGCACTGGGATGGACAGTCTGGGTGGGGCTCTGGAAGAAGGCTCTGCAACCAAGAGCTGCAGGCCACTGGGAACTTGGGAAAGACAGCAATGTAGCTTGAACTAGAAGATGCACAGGGACAGAGCAGAGAGTAAACCCAGAACGGGCTGACAGCCGGGTCTCAGAGCCTTCATTCTGAGGGAACCCTGACTGAGTACCAAGGAGCCCCAGGATGGACAGAGGGGCCACTCACCAGACTTCTTTTCTGGGCTCTCCTCAAATTATGAATACAAAGCAGAAAGTTGTGCGTAACAAGACTTGGTAACAAGTAGGAAAGCAAATCTGCATCCCATGTGCATGGCAGTGTAATTGCTGCAACCCCTACGACAGGTCACCAATCATCTGCCTTGGCGTCCTTCAGATTCCATTTTATTTTTGTCCTGATTATCTACAGACTATTTTAACTCAGGACAGTGATAGCAGCAATGCCACAAGACACTGACTTCACTGTGTAATTTGTGGAGCTTTTTAAAGCCAATTCTTGAGAAAGGTCCTTGAGCCCACATATAACCAAATTGAGAGTCACAGGGTACGCAGCCAGAGCCCTCAGGAAACAGCTGTGTGATGTCCATGATAAAGCAGTAGGTGAAGGGTCCCACCCTGGTTTTCACAAGTATCAATGACAGCACACCATGGTCTGGAGAATCCTGACAGAGCTCAACTCTGATGTTCTAGAGCTTTCTCCAGCCATACCATTGCCACACATTCCTCACTAGACACATTATGCCAGCTTGCTTCAAGTATCTGCTTCTGCTCAGTTTAGCAACCCTAGCAGGTGGCAAAGTGAGCTGACCGACAATTACTGCTCTATAAAATATCACTTTGACCCTTGCTCATGCGAACTCCTCACACCACTGTTACCCAGAGCACCATATACACTCCAAAGCATCTTTAAGAGACTCTGCTATACCACCAAGATCCTGACCCAAGCCCATGACCTAAAACTGCAGCAGCCACTGCCTCAAAAGCCTTGGGAGGACCACTTGCCTGCTGTCCAGCCTTTATTAGAACAAGGACTCCAGTTCAGCCATGTACTGGCTGTGACACTGAGAAGTCACTAATCTTTGAGCCTCAGTTCTCATCCATACAAAGCCATCCATCCCTGCGTCACTAATTCAACATATGCTGGGTATGGTATACATAGGAGCTGAGGTAGAAGAATGGCTTGAGCCCATGAATCAGAGACCAGCCTGTACAATGTATCAAGACCATGTCTCAAAAAAATTGGTAAGACAGTATATGTAAAAAAGACTTTTAAAATCATACATAAACACTCTGTAAGGATATGTTGACACTTCAAAAGACACTTCACTACAATGTTAGGCAAAAACTGACTCTTAACAGAGTTTTGAAACAGTATTGAGGCAAATTATTAATTACTTGATCAATCTTATGAGCATATTAATAACTCATATTAGAGAAGATTTCCTTTATGTTTATAAGAAAAGCATACCACATATTTAAACCTCCTAAGACAACCCTCGTTAGCACCTCACCATGCCAAATAACCAGATAAACACAGGAAATGACACTTGGGAGCTGAAAGCAACAGCTGAGTCAAAATCAAGAATCCGTTGCAAAAAAAAAAAAAAAAAGAAGTAAAATAAAATATAACTTCACCAAGGAGAATCTAGCCCTAAAAGCAAAACTCTCTTCTCATACAGAGAGTCAACTTAAGGCCTAGTACATGCAGAGTTCTTATAGCTTCATTCATATCACCCAACTATTCATGCACACCTGACGAGGGGACACATCATTGCTATTAAAAGTATTTACATGACTGTTCAATTTTCTTTCCTAAAAAGTTCCATAAACAGTATTGACAGTTGTTTAGCTGACGAAACACAAGTTGCAGTCACTGGTCTGAAGCCCATCTTACCACAAATCTACTGTTGCTTTGTTTCTACAAAGCCAGTCCCAAGAAGGTGACACAAGATTGGGAAAGACAACTCATCAAACTCCAGCCACTTCTCCAACTGAACATGAGCAGAGTGGGGAGGAAAGGGGCCCCATCAATGGTTTGCATTTACCACAGCTACTGACTCTTCTTCAATTTTTTTGTCATTAACTATTCAAACTACTTCTTTTTCAAATTATTTCAAACACTTCCAGAAACACAATTTTTTCAGCATTCTCACATCCAAGAAGAAAAGAAACAGGTGCCAACAGCAGAGGACCCAAACAGGAGAGAAGGCCAAAATCAACTTACCTGGGATGAATCAAAACTTGAAGATTGCCACTTGAAGACCCTGGGTGCCCTGAGAGGTACACTAGCATCACTTCAAAGCAAATCAGAAGGCTGTTTGTCCCTAAAACAAGACCCTTACCAAGATAACTTCATGCTGACACTGTTAAGCAGTTAAAACAGAAAAATAATTAAAATAGAAAAGAAACTCCCAGGCAAATTTATCAAAAGGAGTAGCCAGCAGAAACGTTTATTTTATATTATTTATTATCAAAATTAAGACCAGTGTATAAACATATTTGCCAAGAAATAAGCAACTCCAAGCTTATTACATTGCACAAACATTACATCAACAGGTCACTACTCACATTTTTGTGGGTCTAAGATAAGGAGTCAAGCCATAAAAAGGACATTTCTGAAGCACCCTGTGCAGGTACAGACTGGCTGGGTCACCCAACTCCAGTGGAGGAGGTAGTCACAGAAAGAAGCCCAATGCAACCCTCTTAGCCACTGAAATAGGAATTCTGAAAACCCTCTGGCACGAAAAGAGGCCAGGCCACAGCATGGAGATGGTGGTAGGGCACCCCTTTACTGTGGAGGAAGAGTCCACGTATTCTCACACATCTCACGTGGCCCCTGAGAACAAAGTTTCAGCTTGCATGATCCCAGCCAGCAACCTCATCACACCTGCACTGGCACTTGCATGCCATCCCCAAAGGTAAGACCCCACTTTAGAATGAAGACACTGAACATGGCAGACAGAGCTACTCATGACAGAAAGGTCCCTGCATAGCTAATCCCCTACTCTAATCACCAAACCCTGAGCCCTTTGACAAGTATATGAAATCTTCCAAGTCCTACAGAATTTGTGTACTTAGCATATTTTTGAAGAGAAATGGCTTTCTGTGAGCTGTCTTCCCCACAGCAGATACACTGTTTCCCTCTAAAAGTGACATCAAGTCCAGGTGAGGGGCACCTCTTGAAGACCCACACCTTCTCCAGGTTACAGCAGCTACTCCCGCACTTCCAAGGGCTATCAGGAGCACAGGGATAAAGCTATGTCCATGGCTCCCTCCGGACCTATGGTGGCTGAGTGTGATGATTCCTGGCATGCACAGTGGGAACAGCTGCTGGGCTGGCTAAATAGCCTGGAGGCTGAGTCTGCAGATGAAGGGAGACCTGAAGGAACCCAAGTAGAGATGTCCATCGTGCTCATGGGCTTCACTCACATAGGTGACCACCACCCCATCAGGGTCATGCAGGCTTCTCCGGAAGGCACCACTGTCACTGACTTCTAGGACCAGGCTATACCGTGGCACAAACTTCATCACCGTCTCCTGACTGAACAGCTGGAAAGGAAATACCAGGGAGGAGAGCTTACCTTCTACTGTAAGCAAACTGACCACACAACTTCTCATCATCTAAGAGTAGCCAACATCCTGGGGATAGGAGGTCCCACAGGGCAGGTGCAAAATCATGTCCCCAACTCCCATGCAGATCAGACTAAGGAGGTCAAGTCTGTACGGGGACAGCAATGGCTTAGCTAACCACAGAGAAATGCAAGATCACGTTCCAAGCCGGGTGTTGGTGGCTCGTGCCTTTAATCCTAGCACTTGGGAAGCAGAGGCAGGTAAATCTCTGTGAGTTCGAGACCAGCCTAGTCTACAAAGCAAGTTCCAGGGCAGCCTCCAAAGCAATACAGAGAAACCCTGTCTTGAAAAATAAAAAAAAAAAAAATTAAAAAAAAAAAATCACATTCCAAGAAATCACTACACTAAAGTCAAGTTGAGAACCAGCTTAACCCCAAGTCCTCTAGTTGGGTTTAAAATACTCAAGGAGTGTAAGAGGCAAGTGATGGGTGTTTTAAAATTTTTTCACAGTCACAAAAGGGCTGGGAGGTTTAAGTGAGTAAGTCCACTCTATGATATCACTTCTAAACAAATCCATTTTGCTATCTTCCTTGAAGCGTGGTCTGCAGTCCTGGTGGGCATGCCCCTGTACATAGACAGCGTGGAGCTGAGCACCTCTGAGCACAAGCTACAAACAGATGTAGCCTTGTGGAGCTCATAAAAAGTTTAAGCAGAGAAATCCCATGGACGGACATGATTTCTGGCACTAGAGAAAGACACTGGAAAGGAGCAAACTGTGTAGAATTTAGAACCAGGCCTGAATCTCTTCAAATAGGGGCAACAGCTACAGCATGGTTGTACTTGGAAGAATGGATTAAACAGTAAACACATCTATTTTTGTGGCAAGCACCTATAACCCTAGCACTTGAGAGGCAGAGGCTGGTAGAAAATGAGTTCCAGTCAAATCTAGGCAGTTATATAGTAAATCCCTGTCTCAAACACAAAGGAAATACAAGCAAGATAAGGGGATCCAGAAATCTCATTGTAAGACAAAGAAGGTACAAAGATGAGTGGAACTAAGAAAACTAGAATAAAGCCCATAGGGTTCAGTTCTACTACAGGTAATCTGCATAAACTATGGCTTTTAAATTTAAATGAGTATGATAAATGCAGATGTAAGCATGTACTTGCATTTCCTAGCTTTGCCTCTGAGAAACCTATGAATAGTACTGACCAAAAGGATGAACACTTGGCACCCAGAAGCCCAAGCACTCCTCCAGAGAAATGGCCAATTCTAGAACAAGGAAAAATGCAATACAGGTGTGCTCATCTCCTCAGAATTAAAACATTTCCTCCTAGAGAGGAGAAAGGGGTTCATAAGATCCAGGAAGCCAAGGAAAGTCATGAGACTCACAAGGTATGGAGGAGGGCAGAAGCAGGCTGAAATAGCCACTGTAGACAGACAGCAGCAGGACTAACAGGGAGGGGGTGGCCTCTGAAGTCAGGAAGGTGCAGTGACAAAAGTACTCAGAGAGCAAGGAAAACAGAAGGAAGAGAGGAGATGGAGGCGCAAATGTGTCAACTTCTATTTTATTCTGTTTATAGTACTAGGGAGGGTCCCTTTGTCAGCAAATGCTTACCACTCAAGCACCCAGGTACAAGGCCAGAAGTGGTGGTACACACCCAATGCTGGGGACATGGAAATAAGCAGATCCCTGAGGCTCAAAGTCTGATGAACCCAAGATGAGACCGTTTCACAAAATAAGGTAGACGGTTCCAGAGGACTGACCCCTATGGTTGACATCTAGCCTTCACACACATGCACACACCTATGCATTCACACACACACACACACACACACACACACACACACACACAAGTGAGAGATACCAAATATTCTAAATAGAACTGATGTTTGAGAGCTATTCAAGACAATGAAAATAGGCCATGAGACTCATTCCCATCTTCCTTTTTGGAATCAGTTTCCATAATTACCTTGAAAATCATTCTCTTAATAAAAGGCTTCTCAGATAAGAAATCCAACATGGAAAACCCAGGGTTAGCACGAATTGTCGCAGCAGCAACCCAGTACCCGCCAGAGCTGCTGGGCCGGATATTGTCAGGAAATCCAGGCATGTTCTCCACAAACATATCTGCCCCTCCTTTCATCAGGCCAGACACATAGACTCTGAAAAACATGCCCAAGTAGGCAATGCAAAGTAGAAAACAAATTTAAGAATGAACACTTGGCACCCAGAAGCCCAAGCACTTCCCCAGAGAAATAGCCAATTCTAGAACAGGGAAAAATGCAATATGGATGTGCTCATTTCCTCAAAATTAAAATAGTCCCTCCTGGAGAGGAGAGAGGGGTTCATAAGATCTAGGAAGCCAAGGAAAGTCATGAGACTTACAGGGTATGGAGGAGGGCAGAAGCAGGCTGAAATAGCCACTGTAGACAGACAGCAGCAGGACTAAGAGGAAGGGGGTGGCCTCTGATGTCAGGAACTGGTCTTAGTTCAAATATATGTATAGAACATACTATACATGTGTCCTTCGTGAGTGCAAGCAGAGTGAGATGCTGACAGAAACCTTGAGGACCACACGTGCAGGAAGAACCAAAGCCCACCTTACAGGGAAATGGACTGCAGGATATGCAGAGAGCATGAAATCAAGACACACTCTGGACTGTGACCCTCACAAAGCCTAAGACATGAGGAAGGAACTTTCTCGTCATTACACAGAGAAGGGGCCCGAAGCACTTCAGACATCCATTCACCTCATTTTTATCCTACCACAAGCCATGACAAGCTCTGGAGAAAAAGTAACAGCTCCGCTCACACCACACACACCTTCTTATCCTGGCCATGGTTGTCTCTGCCACCAGAACAAAGTCTTCCTCGGGAGACAGTTGAACTCCATTAGGGAACCGCAACTGGTCCAGCAAAACCTTCACTTCTCTTGTCACAGTATCGTACTCCAACAGGCTGTGGAAGGCCCAACACAGCAGTCACAAAGGGAAGAGCCCAAGATCTCAGGTGGGCCTGGGGAAAGGGACAGGGACTCAGCCTCCCACTGGAGTGATAAGACCCAAGTCAGGGATCTGTATGGACCTGGTCCCAGGCTGGCTAGTAAGGACCCTCCCTGTCCACACCAGATCCAGTATCCCCTTACAGACCAGAGAACTGGGTCAGCAGTGATGGACAGCACACCAGCCTTTAAAGCACAACCTGAAACCTAGGCCTGCTGGGGGGCCTCACTCATTCTGCCTAGAACTCCATGGATAGACTTCATTTTATTTGCACTGAAGAAGGGAGATCATACTGGCCATCACCTGACTCCAGAGCCACTAAGGTCTTGTTCCTAGACACTGAAATACTGTGCTGAGACCTGCTACAGCTTCCAGCAGAAACAAGGTCTGTTACCCGTCACCTGTGGCTAATTGAAGGGAAGGCCTAAAAGGAACACTTACCGCCCATCATCAGTGCCCTCCATCACCAGGAGCAGGTAGTCCCGTCTCTGCCACTTGCTGCTGGAATCTGTGAAATAAATCTTCCTCCCATCCCGAGTGACAGTGAGATCATTCACAAAGGACATTTTCTTGCCCTCAATGAGAGTCTCAGAGGACAGCAACAGTTTCACTGCACCTGAAGTCACAAAAAAATGAAAGATTTGCTGTCATTTTAGGAACTTATTTCTTGATATTTTCACAATGTTAATCAATCCAACTGATGACAAGAGAAAAAATTAAAATGAGCTTTTCTATCCCCCAGTGAGAACAGTTATCAGTCATTATCTTGTTTTTTTAAGATTAAACTTTATCAAAGGCAGAATTACAAAGTTGAAGAATGCATTTTTTCTTTCATTGAAATCAACAAACTTAAAAAAGAAAAAACTATTAAGAGCAATATGCAAAAAATCTAGTACTATTTGTTAGCTGGAGAGAAAAAAGATCAAAGATTCCATTCATCTACTTTTACATTAAGCAGAAACAACAGTGAGTTTTTAAAACTAGCCAGGAATGAGGAACACATTATCATCCTAGGTAGGAAAGGCAGAGGTTGGAGGAGAGTTTGAACTCAGTAACTGGAAGCCAGCTTGGGCAATACAATGAAATACCTCCTCCCGCCCAAGCTCAAAACTCCAATAACAGAAAGGACATACATGGGGTGCCAAGCTTCCTATATACACTATTATTTAACCCTGTGCAAGAATCCACAGGTAAGGTCCACTATTAATTTTCCCTACTCTATGGAAAAACAGAATGGAGAGGCTATGTAGCTTTCCCAGTCATAACCACCAGAAAGCAGAGGCCAGGCTGCAGCGCCCATGGTCAAGCCCCATGCAGAGATCCTACATGCTGTGTCCTCCATGGAGAGAGCACACAGCACATATTATAATACCAGTTCTGGTAATATCATGTCCAGTCATGGGAGAGAAAGGAGAAGGAACTGTCTAAGGGGGAAAAAAAGATTCTGAGACAGGAGGATGAGGAGTAAATGTTTACAACACAACCCTTCTGAGAGCCAGTGGCTAAAACATAGATGCAAAGAAAAACTGGGGAGGGACCAAGGCTGGCTCAGAAAGGGAGCTCTCTGGTGGCCAACACAAGCATTTGTAGGCAATACTTGTGCTGTTATTTAATAAGAAAACATTGTAGTTGCCTATAGACTACATTTAACAATCTTATTAAATATGCTTTACATGTATACTGTTTGAAAGAGCTGAAAATAACAAAGAAACAAGTTGTCACATACGTTTCTGAGGATTTACTTCGAATAATCCCTTGTACGCATCAACCACAAAAAGAGTCCCATTGGGCCCTGCCCGGATGCCCAGGGGTCTCCCACACGTAGGTTCATCATTTCGGGTTTCTAGGAAGATAAACAATAGGAATCGGCGGCCGCTCCAAGATTCTACCTGTGCCCTCTTCAGTGTCCAAGTATCTCTTCCATACCTCCCTACACAGACACCATGCTGTACAGAGCAAAAAGACCACAGCGTTAGAAATGGACCTGCTCCGCCTCAGAGGCTCACTGCAAGGAGCTCAATGCACAAGCTATAAGGTGCTTACTGCAAGTGTTACTGCACCACAAGGGGTGCTCACTGTCCAGTGCTCAATGTAGGTGCTGAGTGCAAAGGGCAGACTGAAAAAGCAAATACAGAGTATGAGCATGGGTGTCCATGGATGCAAAACTTCCTGAAAAGGGACTCATTCAAATGTTGGATGGTACTTTTCAGAAGACCCTAAGTAATTTTGATTTTGATTTTGTATGTTTATGCTGCTTTTATTTTTGAAACAAAAATGTATAATTTTTATAAAACGTCTCAGCTACCAAAAATGGCAACTAGGTTGTGAATTGTAGTGGTGGAACACTTGCCTGGTAATCAGGAGGTCCTGGATTCCATCCAGAATACCACAAAAAATAAACAAATAAAATTTATAATAAGTTAATTAATAAAAAATGGTAAAAATCCCGTGGACCAGTTTTTAAACAGTGCAATTGTCTGCTCATGCTTCCAAAGTCTAAATGATTTAAGGCTTCTCAGACCTGAGTAACATAACTGAAATACCTGAAGAGCTACTAAGGAATCCCATGTAAGCCCCAGTCACAGAGCCCCTGCCTTTATATAAAGCAGCACCCATACCCACAGGAGTTAACAGCCGATGTTCCCACAGGACAGCCAGAAACTGAATGGGAAGATGAGGGGACATAGCACCAGGAAACACTCAGCAGATACATGGCCCATGCTAACTGGAAAGCTAGGACCTCAGAGTGACTACTGCGAGCTCTACTGGGCACTCCAAGGCCAAAGGACCACCTGGCAATAAAAAATGGAGGTGGCACCACAGTGTGTCCATCTGCCAAATGATCAGCAGTTCTCCAACAGTGAAAGAAATATCTAGGGGAAAAGGATAACTTTCTGAGTGATGTGTTACCAACTTACTACAAGGGCCTGAACCAAACCGGGCGATGGTCTCTATTTCCCCATTTTCAAGTTTTACCACTCTGCCATCTGCTGTGCCAGTAAACATCACATCTGTTTAAGAAAACAAAAAGGGGAAAGATCATTAAAGGATTGGCCAAAGAGCTATGACCACACTGTTTCTTCTATAAGGAAGCAGTTTGGTTGTATTTTAACAGCCAGAAAGGAAACAGCAATTCTGAAGATGATGGAGAAATTATGTATGGGAAACATTTACATCCTTAAAATTAAGTAACAAGCAAGGCAGTGGTGAAACAATCCCAGCACTTTGGAGCTAGTGGCAAGATGATCTCTGTGAGTTCAAGGCCAACCTAATCTACAAAGTGAATTCCAAGACAGCCCAGCCAGGGCTAAACACAGAAACCCTGTCTTGAAAAAAAAAAAAAAATTAAAGTAACAAAACTATGTTACTCCCTCAAAGGATATAATTGTTCAAATCTGTCCAAAGTCTGTACAAAGGCAATATGAACAGACCTATGTGTGGTAAAGAAACTGACTAAATAATTAACAATCTTGCAAGACAGAAAGCATCAGCCCCCAATCAGCTGGCTCACTGGTAAATTCTTCCTTAAGAAATTACAGTCAAATCTCTAAAATCTGCTTTAGAAGACTGAAGCTGGAAAAATATCTCTTAATTCATTCTATGAATTACAACTTCTGCATTGTCCTAATGAGGACATTAAAAGAAACTACAGACCAGCATCTTACAAACATAGCTGCAAGAGGCAACCTGAAGAGACTGTATGATTCTAATGCTACATCTGGAAAGGGCAAACAATGCAGAAATTTAAAAGTCACTAATAGATTAAAGAGGGAAGGGGAACATAGGTGAATTTTAGGAGAATGAAAATATCTTTTATGATAGTATTATAAAAGTGTCCAAATCCACAGAGTTCACAATGCCAAGAGTAAACCACAATTAAAACAGACAGTGGGAATAATAACCCAACTATGGTGGAAAATGGCAACAGTAGAAAGGCTAAACCGGTGTGAACCTAACACCCATTCTAATAAAATCTCTACTTTTTGTTCCATTACTGTAAGCCTAAAACAGATCTTTTTTGCTTGCCTTTTGGGGGGGGGGGGGGGGGGGGGCTGGGATTGGAATGTAAAATATAAATTAATTAAAAAATTAAAATAAAAAAATTAGTTTGCACTGGTCAAAAGCCCAAGACTGGGAAGCTATTCTAGGGAATAGGGAATAGTAATAGGAATAGTAGGGAAGCCTACTGCTATTTTGCTAAATAGAAATGGTGTCAAACTATCTTCTAAATACATATGTTTATACACACAGATCAGTGCTGCCCTCAGCCTTGGTCAGAGCTTCTCTTTGCAGTGAGTGATGGCTAATACAGACTCCTAACTGGTCAGACTGCTGAGGATACGTGACTGCTCAAAAGAAATCCATATCACCCCCTCCAACACTCAGAAAACATCCCAGAAGAGGGGACAGAAAGAACACAAAAGCCACAGGATAGGGAAGAGTGCTGTGAATGCTTTCTTCTGCATGTGGCATGGCTGTTACATTCATGAACTCAGAAGCTACGGTTACCTATACAAGATGGGGCCTGCCAACATTTCATCATGGACTAGGGAGGGACTCATGAGTAACTCCCTGACGAGATACTGCAATTAGTGGATGCTGAGGGAGGGAAGTAGTTTTCTTCAGGGATACAACCTCTGTTATGCTGTCCGTGTTCTCTCTAGTAAATAACCCACACACACACCCAAACTCTTTTTGCAAGCAACCCTAGTTAAGCTCAGTGGGCCATTTTAAAAATAAATAATAAAAACACAAACAACCTCTTTCCCATCTTGCAAAATGGCAGGTGAAAAAGCCGAGAAGCCTGACACAAAAGAGAAAAAACCAGCAGCCAAGAAGGCTGCTGGTGATGCCGCTGGTGCAGAAGGGGAAGCCCCATTGCAGCTGGAACCCTGTCCTGGTGAGAGGAATTGGCAGGTACTCCTGATCTGTTATGTATTCCAGAAAGGCCCTGTACAAAAGAAAATACCCAGCTGCAAAAAACCAAGGTTGAAAAGAAGAAGAAAAAGGAGAAGGTCCTTGCTACTGTCACTAAACCAGTTGGTGGTGACAAGAACGGTGGTACCCAGGTGGTTAAGCTTTGAAAAATGCCCAGGTATTACCCTACTGAAGATGTTCCTCGGAAGCTGCTGAGCCATGGCAAGAAGCCCTTCAGTCAGCAAGTGAGGAAGCTGCGAGCCAGCATCACTCCAGGGACTGTCCTGATCATCCTCACCAGGCGCCACAGGGGCAAGAAGATGGTTTTCCTGAAGCAGCTGGGCAGCAGCTTGCTACTTGTGACAGGACCTCTTGCCCTCAACAGAGTTCCTCTGTGAAGAACACACCAAAATTTGTCATTGCCACCTCTATAAAAGTTGATATCAGCAAGGCTAAAATCCCCAAACACCTGACTGATGTTTACTTTAAGAAGAAGCAACTGCGCAAGCCCAGGCACCAGGAGGGTGAGATCTTCAACACAGAGAAGGAAAAATATGAGATTACAGAGCACCACAAGGCTGATCAGAAAACTGTGGACTCGCAGCTTTTGCCAAAGATCAAAGCTGTTCCTCAGCTCCTGGGCTACCTGAGGTCTCAGTTCTCTCTCTCTGACAAACGGGATGTATCCTCACAAACTGGTTTTTTTTAAATTGCTATCGACCTAATTAAACAGCTTCATATGTTTATAAACACACACACACACACACACACACACACACACACACACACACACACAAAAGATGCAAAAATAACTCATTGGTAAAACAAGGCATTGAGAAGGAGTGAAAACAGGAGAAAGAGGGTGAGGGGGGTAAAAAACTACATGTGTGTGTGTGTGTGTGTGTGTGTGTGTGTGTGTGTGTGTGTGTTTGCAATTATTAAAGAATAATAACAAATAAATATACAAAACTGAAACCATTTTGAATATCTGTGACAGAGAGTAAACAAAGTGGGTTTTATAAATGTTGGGAGCCATACAGCCTAGTCTTTTTTTTTCTTTTTTTTTTTTTTTCTTTTTCCTTTGGTGTTTCAAGACAGGGTTTCTCTGTGGCTTTGGAGCCTGTCCTGGAACTAGCTCTTGTAGCCAAGGGTGGTCCTGAACTCACAGAGATCTGCCTGCCTCTGCCTCCCAAGTGCTGGGATTAAAGGTGTGCGCCACCACTGCCCAGCACAGTCTAGTCTTGATCAGTTTATGAATGCCTATCTAATGGGTTTCCCTGAGGCAAGACCCATGGAGATGGTTTCTCACTCTGCAAGGACCAGTGGACCTGGGGCAGCACAGGACGCTGCTAGATTTTGACGATTGAAGGCTCTTTTCTCTTTCATTATGTTGCTGATTCTTTTTGTTCTAAAGAAAAGGTAGATAGCATCACCTTGTGGGGAAAGGGACTCATACATAGAATGGTACTGGCAGGAAATAATGGGTACATATAAGGAAACAACACCTGGAACATTAGCCATGTCTCACAGTTCTGGGAAGGAAATTAAGGCAATATATATGCAGAAAAGGGGGAAAGCCTCAGGAATACACATACTACCAACTGTTGAGGTTAAGTCCCCTGGATACCAAGCATATAGAATCAATGGTAGGATCTGGTATGCTCCAAGGGGAGAAACGTGCGGTGCAAATGTGGGATGGAGAGCTCTCACCTTCACCACACACAGGAGCTTACACTGGTGGAAGAAGAGTGGTATGGTGGGATGGGAAATGAATTCCTCATCAAAGTCTGCCCTTTATAGAGAGAATGAGACAAGACATAAGTGCTCCAAGAACAGAATGTGCCTGGCACAATGTTTAGTTTAAGCCTGCAAAAATGCTAAGCTCTATGTCTAAAATGAGGCCAGGCAGGGGGTGAGAAAATGTATTTAAAATATAAACTTTGAGGTTAAATAACTCTCAAGGTTCATCTTGGATTCCTATTTGCAAGCTATTCAAATTCACTGTCTAGAAAGAATCTCTGCACTATTCCTGCTACAAAGGTTGATGTTAGTGAAATAACAATTGCCGAAAAACATTTTTAAAAATGGATCACTTATAAACAAAGTATGCTAATTGGTGGTTGCTCTCCTCTACCACCTGTCCTGAGGCAGTCAGCACCTGTCAGTCTCCCTAAGGATACCCTCTAAATGAAGCTGCAGCAGCAGGTGTCTGGGTGCCAACTTGTAACTCACATCCACAAGAATAGAAGCAAAGAGGTCCCCTTAGGTCCACACCAGAAATGGCACCCAGTTTACATAGCTCCTCAATATGAAGAAAAGGGAGAAGGTAGAACAGGTGCACTCACTGAGGCAGCAAAGCCCACCAAGCAACACCAAGTTCCAGCAGAAACCACAGTGTCTGGCTTGTCACCAGAACTGATGAAAATTACTAACAAATGCCAAGCCCTTTTAAGAGAAACTAAGTTCTGCCATGAAGTATTTACTCCTGTTGAAAAAAAAAAAAATGTTTACCAGAGATATAACAAAGTAACAACTGCAGAGATGGGCAGCCTTTGGACCTCTATGGAAAAAGCAGGGGCAGGACTAGAGTTTATCAAATGCCCGCAGCAATGCCCCTGGCCGCCTGAGAAACTAAACAAAGAAGAACAGTACACAATGTCTATAAACATGTAACAGATGAAGGGCTGCAGCATTTCAAAGCTGCTACTCAGAAATCCTCACACTAGTCGAAGTTTGATCATCTCATTAACTGTGTCCTTTCAATACTAAGCTTAATTCTCATCCTGACAGGAAAAAAAAAAAAAAAAAAAAAACCTACTGCCTAGTTGCTAGAGTCAAATTCATTGTCAGGCCCAATTCTTATTTTCAGGAATCCCATCCTGAAATGGATTAGTTCAGTGGAAATACTGAGAACCACTCCTCTTCACTTCAAAATAAAACCTATGCAAAACAAAGACAAAGTGAGCAAAGGACCAGGGTGCTATCAAGTAACATCTACCTAACTACATAAATGAACTCAATGTCAATGTCTGTGTGTGCCTTTTGCTCCTCACAATACTAAGCACGAGAAAGTATGTGGAAATTCACTCAAACTCACCCCACGTAGCCCAGCACAGTGGTATGTACCTGTAATCCTAGCACTCAGGAGGCAGAAGCAGGCAGATCTCTGAGTTAGAGGCCAGCCTGGTCTACAGAACAGTTCCAGGACAGCCAGGGCTACTTAGAGACACTGTGTCTTGAAAAACAAAGCAAACAAACAAACAAATAAAACATACAAAAATGTAATGCAAACCAGGCAGCAAGAAGAGAGAGAGCTGCTCCCTTGAGATGTTCACAGATGAGACATAAGCCCAGAGCTCCCCTTCCTGGGAGCTGTGTGCCTCTGCAGCTGCTCCCACAGAACCCATCCACCCTGAGCAATAGCAGCCTGGAAATCCAGAGTGCATTCCAGAGATCCCAGTTTACTTACCCCCGATATTTACCAAGGACTCTGGCCCACTAAGTTGGTTTTCAAATAGCCTTTCTGCTTGTCGCAACTTTGTATTTGGTTGCAGAACGCCAAACATCAAAGGGGGTTCTTTGAAGCTGTAACACAATACAATTGCAAGGATTTGTGATTTAAAATATCCACGAAGGAAAACATTTCCTGAAGACCCATGCACATCTATCTCCCTGTTCTGACACACAGAATACATCCCCAAAACACCCTTGAATGCCAGGAAAATAAAGGTTAAGGGGGCAAATTCAAGGATATCAGAAAAGATCACAGTAGGAAATAATTATGAAAATATAAATATTGCATGTCCCCATACCCCAGATACCCTGAGGATCTCATCACCATCCAGGGCCTCAGGACAGTTAGGCCTCCTGACACCCTCTGGTACAGACAGCCCTGCAGCTAGTACCTATAGCTAATACTATCTGTATGGCATGGGGAGAGCTCTGTCAACCTTCCACAGCTGACCACGTTCTTGCTTCCTGTGTAAGGGAAGGGAGGCAGCCAGCCATGGAACAACATCCAGTGCTCATGACCCCACACAGGTACATTCTGCAGAGCCCCAGACCATCTTCCCCTCCCAGAGTAACTCCAGCAACTTTCCTCCAAACTCATTCCCATCCACAGGCTCAAGTGCCATAGCTCCCAGCCACTGCTGAGGCCACTTTTAAAGAGACGTGTTTGCACCTTCCTCCCAGGTCCTCTGCTGCCACTCTGCCCTGGCCAGCATCTTCTCCCGTGATCCCTCATCTCTACAGTCTATTCTCAATCAAGCAGCCCACTTCACATTTCTCTTTTGATCCTTGCAATTGCACCATCTCACTCAGAACCAGAAGTCCTTGGAGTGACTTCTTATGCTGCCTGGTCTGGCCCTGTCACCCATTACCTCGTTGTTTCTTCTGTTCCCCATCCCCCCCCCAACCCACTTTGTTGGGTCTTGAGCACCAGGCATCTTTGGCCCTTAACATTAACTCTCTCACAGACTCCTCTTTTTTCCTTGGTGAAACCTACTCTTAGAACCCAATTTAAAATTTGCCGCCTCCCTGGGCCTGTCCCCGGCCCCACACTTGCTCTAATCTTTCCACTGCACTTATCGTCTCATGCACTTTGGGATTCAATTTTCTGGTGTGTTTGTCTCTCTAGTCCCACTAGAAGGGAAGTTGTGTGGACCAGGGATTCCTTCCTGCTTCCCTCTGCTACATCTCAAGAACCTGGCAGGCAGGGAATTCCCAATGCACATTGCTAAGGAGGAGGAAGAGGAGTATTTCCCATCCTCCACGAAACCCTGTCATTCAGAGAGGCTGTAACCTGGCCTACTCACTAGCGGAGGAGAGGCAAGGGGACTAGGGGCAGCTGAGAATGTGGGGAACAAAACGCTCTCTATTCTGCCTACCTCTCAGTTCACGACAATGTACTTTACTCTCTGTTGCCACTACTGAGTCAGTGCCACACCCAGATTAAACTGTCTTTCCTCCCTCTGCCCCAGCTCTCAACCATGGCTTTCTACCAGCCACAAAGGCAAACCCTTTCAGCTTAACTAGGAAGTTTCAGCGCCAAAGGAGGAGGCAGGAAGCAGCCTGCCTGCTTTGGCCAAGGAGTTCAGTCCTGACCCTGATAGGTCCCAACCACCAAGGTGAGCTTGCAAAGCAAACCATGTTTGAGCATAAAGCCAAGAACAGAGACGCTCAACCCTCCCCGAGTTGGCGTAAGTCCTTCCACTCGGGAAGTTCTCAAGAAGCATTTGTGTGCTTATCCCTGCCCACAGGCAGCTGAGGACAATCTTAGTTGAGAAATAACAAGAAAATTGAAAGCCAGGCATAGTAGTTCATGCCCATCATCCCAGCACTCAGGAGGCTAATGCTGGAAGACTGCCATAGGCTTGAGGCCAACATGGGCTACAAAGAAAGACCTTGTCTCAAAAGAATGGGGGAAACATGGACAGGAACAGGCAGACTTGGATGCAAAAAGGCAAAGTTCAGGCAAGGAAGATCCTCATGGCAGTAGTTTGTAGCAGAGGACAGCCACCAGGAAATCCAAATCAGACAATGTCCTAGGGCCTCACCTGGCTAGAACCAGAGCACAGGCAGCCGTTCTTTAAGTTAAAGCCAGTGACACTAGTTCACCCTTGCTAAGTCTGTGGCTGTACTGTTTATGCTCAGTTACTTATCTTTTTGTTGTTGTTGTTCTAGTTTTTCAGCCAGAATCATGTTTGCTCTTTCCTCTGAGATCAAGCTTACTAAACCCCTTCGTTGGCTCTGTCAACTCTTAAGTGTGCCGAGTCTGTCTCACACCAATGTCCACACCCAGGACACAGTGCTGTGGCATGCCATCTTAGTAGATCTTTGCTCCACAGCCTCTACTCCAATTTACATCTCACAAAGCCTGGGAAAGCAGCTGCAATTCCACTAAGATAGGAACAAAAGGCCTGTTTTCCATAGAAGGATACGGGTATTTCTAGGCATTTAAAAACATATTTAACTGCATCCTAACCCTTCTTGCCTTATCAGGCTCCCCTACAGCAACCAGTGCTCAGTTTGTACAACTTCAAATCCTGACTGAGCTGTTTTTCTGTTTGCTATGGCCACACACCCCTTATCAGCTAAGTTTCATCACCATTTTTCCACACACAAACTGGCCTTCCCTGCGATCAAAGGATTTCAGTCAACTCCAAACTCCAAACTCATGTCTTCACTTGCTGTGTGCTGCTCCCGTTGGCAAGGCTGGATCTAACCTGCTTCTGATCACCAGCTATGCATACTGTTCACTTTCCTGTCTTATTCAAGGAGGCCTAAGTCAGGTCTACTGGGAATAGACTAAGTTTTCTACATGTTAAGAAGGGCCTATGGCTGGGTGGTGGTGGTGCACGCCTTTAGTCCCAGCACTTGGGAGGCAGAGGTAGGCAGATCTCTGTGAGTTTGAGGTCAGCCTTGTCTATAGAGCTAGTTCTAGTTCCAGGACAGCTAGGGCTGTTACACAGAGAAACCCTGCCTCAAAAAAAAAAAGAGGAGGAGGAGGAGAAGAAGGAGGGTGAGGGGGGGGCCTCTAATAAGACTACTAGATGTCCTCAGGCCTGAGGCTCAGGAAGTGTGAAAGAGTACCCACTGACATACAGATAATTAGAACCAACCCCTCAAGCTGACTGACTAGGCCAGCACTCCTTCTGGACAGTAAGATGCAAGCTAATCCCATTTCCACAGCACTATGCAGCTTTATTTGTAGTCAGTGATTATTTGGGTTTTGGTACTTACAGTGTTGGGGATCAAATCGAGAGTCTTTGCACTTGCTAGGCAAGTACTCTATCCATATCTCCCAGACTCTTTAGTTACTAAAATTTAGTAATTCTAAATCCAGTAAGCAAGGTCACTCTTGCCCACATGTCCATTTAGGATCAGAACTGTGTCCTCCCTCATCTCTGAAATCTGCTGGACACCTACCTTAGCTGCTGAACATGTTCTTAGTGAATTGAATCCAATATAAAATCTGAATTTTCATACATAAAACAGCAACACATTATTCAGTTGTATATATTATCTTTGCTCCATAGTTAGACAAAGTTCTTGTATGAAGTCCTTAAAGTTTTACATGAAGTAAGTACTAACTCATCTAAAATAAACTTCAGATGGCTGCACTCACACTAGTATCTCCAAAGGGAACCAGGAATCTTCAAAGGCTTTTGGCATGATGTTGGGGAATATTATTTTAAGGTGTGTGACTTTTGTTTATGTTGCATTTGTTTAACTCTGTGAAGTTGTGTTACTGTGCCTGTCTAAAACACCTGGTGGTCTAATAAAGAGCTGAACAGCCAATAGCAAGACAGAAGAGAGGAATAGGCAGGGTTGACAGGCAGAGAGGATAAATATGATAAGAAATGCAGGAGAACGGGGATCTTGGAAAGAGAGAGGAAGGAGGACTTCGAGGCCAGCCACCCAGCTATATAGCCAGACATGGAGTAAGAAGGAAAGAAAAGATATACAGGAATAAAGATAAGCCCTGAGGCCAAAGATAAATGGGATAATTTAAGAAAAGCTGGCAAGAAACAAGCCAAGCTAAGGCTGGGCATTCATAGCTAAGGATAAGCTCCGTGTGTAATTTATTTGGGAGCTGGGTGGCGGGCCCCTCAAAAAGGTAGAAGAGTAAAACTTCACACTACACACTACAGCATGATAACTTGGGAGTTTCACCACTGCGGATTCTGTTTGAATTCCTTATGCAGATTTGTCAAACTTTCTCAACCAAATAGAAGAGCTAGGATTTCCATTGATTTCTAGAGGTGGGAGATACAAAAAGATTAGGAAATTAGAGGCTAAGGGGTTGAAAGAGCTCAGTTCCTTCACAAAAATCTCAACCTACCTCCTTCCCTTACTCTGCAGGCCAAACCACACAACCCTTCTCCAACCAGCCCAAGTTCAATATCAGCAAACACCAATTAAAGCATGACTCTGCCCTGCTGTAATCACAAACATGACTACATGTTAAGAGGTTTTCAAGTTACAACAGACTAATTCCTCACAGACCTCCACTGGTGAATTATAACTTAGCAAAAACAGAATACTAATTACAGATCTTAAAAATTAATTATTTACTGAGATTGTTGACTGACTTATATGCAACCCGATAGCCCTCTCCAGCAGCTGGTGGAAGTAGAAGCTGACACCTACAACTAATCACTGAACTGAACTGGAATCCAGTTGCAGAGAAGGATGAATGAAGAGCAAAGGGGTCCTGACCGGGCTGGTGAAACCCACAGAAACAACTGACCTGAACATCGGGGAACTCTTGCTCCCCAGACTGATAGCTGGGATACCAGCATGGGACTAATCCAGGCCCCAGGAACATGGGTTTCAGTGAGGAAACCTCAGAAATCTATGGTACCTGCTGTAGTAGTTCAGTACTTATCCCTAGCATAGGTGTGGACTTTGGGAGCCCATTCCACATAGAGGAATACTCCCTGAGCCAAGACACATGGGGGCGGGCCTAGGCCCCATCCCAAAGGATATGACTCTGATGACACCCTATGGAAGGCCTCACCATTCAGGGGGAGCAGAAAGGACATGTGATAGGTAGGGTTTTAGTTGGGGGAGGTGGTAGGGGAGGACGGGAGGGAGAAGGGAACTGGGATTGTCATGTAAAACAATCTTATTTCTAATTCCAATTTTAAAAATCTTTAAAAAAATTATATATAATTATTTACAAAAGTTACATAAGGTGATTTAAATCACCACTGAGTGTGCTTCTGCTACTTCAAATGAACTAAGCTCAGTTATTTCTAATGCTTAAACTTCTTTTATTTTGATTTTTACAGCTGGTTTCTGTCACAATGGCAGGGAAAATTTCACATGTATTGAGTTATATCTAATTCAACATGAAACTCAAATGCTAAAGAAATAGAGTTCTGTTACTCATAGCCAAGTTCCAAACCACACTGATTCTGTCGCACACCTTCCCAAGACTACTGTGCACTTACCTGAGAATCTGAGGATCTATGGGGGACTCCAATAGCATCATGGCTCCAAGCAGGGGAATGACAAGGGAAACAGCCAGCATCAGGAATGTCATTCGGAAAACTCTGCCACTAAAGGAACTGCCAGAAATAAGAGAGTGGCAATCAGCACACACACACACACACAGTGACAAACCTGTCTGCTCTGGAGGCCTACCCTGAAGAACAACTGCTCACCGAGTTTCTATGCTCACCAGGTCTCCCCACTGCAAGGTCACTGGCTTTGTGATTCATGGTTAAACTTGAGCAGTTTGCCAATCTTGGCAGACACAACTATTCCTTTGTGTAAAATCTTGCAGCTGTTTGAAATACCCTGGTCAGTTATACTCCAGATATTCTTTCTTCTAACAGGATTTCAAAGGAAAAACTCAAAGAACTGATGAATACAAAATGTAATGGGACAGCCAGGCACAGCTCACAAACTCTAAGCCAGCACTTACAAGTCTGACAAAGGAGGATTGTTAGTTTAAGGCCAGCCAGGACCAAATTCCAAGATTCTGACTCAAAGACAAGAGAAAAGACTCGCAATGATGTGATGGGCATTTTCACTCACTCACTCACTACAGAGAGGATGAGCACAGTCGGGGGGGGGGGGGGGATTTCCATGAAGAAGTCCTGCCAACTCTCTGAGCCCCTAATTTCTCAAATATTTTACACCTCCCCGTTTTTAGGAATCAAAGGAAATCCTTGCTTTTCCTTTGGTGGAATTTTGGTGATGTTCCTAAGGAATTCACATATTCTGCAGCTAAAATTCCAAAAAGCTTTACCTATGGAAAAAGGTACCTTTGGAATCTGGCTAGCTTTCAGACAAATGACAGAATGACTAGAACTCCTCACACACATTATCATACTTATTTGGTTTATTAAAAGTGACAATCTTTAGCCCCTTGCTACATAAACCTCATAGAATCATTATCTGCTTACAAAAATTACATTGAAATTTTACTAAACACTTGACATCAAGATTAACTTAAGAGGAGCGGCAATATAGTGGATAAAGGCTCTTGTTGCCAAGGCTGATAATGTTGAATTCAATCCCCAGAACCCACATGGCAAAAAGAGAGAACTACACACCCACACTCACACACACACACACACACACACACACACACACACACCTACACCCACATTCATACATATACATTTACACACACACCTACTCACATTCACACATATACACACATTTACACACACACACACACACACACACACGCATGCACGCACGCACGCATGCACGCGCACACACGCGCGCGCAAATTTTAAAAAACTAAAATCATGACCTTATAAGAAAGTTTCTATCTGTAAAGTTTAAATGTAGACATAAAGAAAAATAAGAAGTCATATCTAACAGAACAGATTTCAAGAAGGGGTTGGAGAGGGGGTTTTGGTTCTGACTGGCAATGCCCACTGCCAAAACTGGAGAACATCAGCAGAACACAAAGGACTTGAGGCATGCTCTCACCATTAGCAATTAGCAGAGAATGGAAGATGCCTGGACCCAGAGCCCTCGGGGTTTCAAAAAAAAAACAAAAACAAAAAAAACTGTAAAAGCTCAGAGTGCTATGTCTCTTCAATGAAACCACACATGTGACTTTTAGCAACTAGCTTCCCTCCCTGACCTGCAATGAGGCAACTTTTACCCAAAATCCCTCTTTCTACTATTTCTTGTTAGCAGCTACCATTTGTCCCACAATCCTTATAGATCTCTTGGTTCTGGGGTGTCAGCTTGCAGCCACCGTGCTGGTCCTTTTCCACCATTGTTGGCCCCTCCAGGGCTTGGAGGACTAGACAGGCCACACTATTGAAGTCTCTTCTGATGTGGCTGAGCCTGATGCTATTTCTCTTAAGTCCTCTATAGATCTTGGTCACAGAGCCAACTCCATCACCAGCCCAGAACTACAGGTGCTGAAACAGTTTGTGGGTAAAACCAGTTCTCAGAGAATGATCTTTATATTTGGTCAGAATGCCTATGCCCACTCATTCGAGGACTTTCAGCTTCCCAGATGTTTGAGGAAGGCTACCAGAGGTCCAAGGAACTCCTGCTGATTAACCTCTTTTACAGTAACACTGGGCACCATGGAGCCTCTGTGCTGCCCACCAGGGAAAAGGGAGAACTTCTATTACTTGGCATACCATCTTTCAGGTTCATTCATGTATTCATGATACACAATATCAGTATTACTCCTTTTATTTGCTTCTACTGGTATAAGACAAGCCCCAGAGAGAGAGAGAGAGGAGAGAGAGAGAGAGAGAGAGAGAGAGAGAGAGAGAGAGAAACACCAAATATGCTTATCTATTCATCCACTTATGGACATCATGTGTGAATGGGGAAATGGTTTCTTTCACATAGTGTAACTATGATTATTTATTGGCTAAAAGGTGTCTTAATGGCATGATGAAAGTAACTGACCAACACTGCAAACACTGTAAATCCACTGAGCTTCTTGCATTAAAATGGTAATTTGTGTTACATGAATTACATCTCAACCAAAAAAAGATCTAAATTTATACAGTGGCAAATTATTGCAAAACTCCATCACTTTACAAAACAAATAACACTCAACTGAAGATTTTTAAGTAAATTCTGTGATTGTTCCCACTAAAGGAAAAGAAACTAAAAGTTGGTGAATTCACTATGCAAAATCCACACCAAAGCCTGGGACATTGTACAAAGGTGACGTTTTGAAGTGGCCTAAAGCTTTTTACCACAATAGAAATAGAGAGTATCTGTTCAAAAAAGCAGGGTTGGCTACAAGTACCAATGACAGAAAAACGGTTGTTTAAAAACAAGAGACCCAAAGAGAGACAAACATATTCAAAGTACTCAGGGAACATTATTCAACCCAACCAGGATATTCTTTCATTGTTGTTGTTTTGCTTTGTTTTGTTTTGTTTTGTTTTGTTTTGGGGGGGGGGGTGTTCTGTGTGGCTTTGGAGCCTGTCCTGGAACTCACTCTATAGATCAGGCTGGCCTCGAACTCAGAGATCCACCTGCCTCCACCTCCCACGTGCTGGGATTAAAGGTGTGCGCCACCACCTGGTCCCAACCAGGATATTCTTGTCCTTTACAGGACACTAATGCACTCCTCTACTTCATCTGAACCAGCAAAGGAACACTATAATCTCAGACCTGTGGTTGTCGGTTATCATTAGCCAAAATAAGCAAGAAAATTCAACCAAAGTACTGCTTTCTTTTTTTCATTGCCTAACAAAACAAATTCTCCTAATGTGTGTCAGACTTAGGCGAACTCTCCTTTACTGCACTCTCCTTACATGGAAAGAAGGGTGTTAGGAATGGGACCCAGAGCTGTGTTCACGCTAAGCGTACACTGGCCCATTAAGGTACATTTCCAGCCCTGTATCTTACATTTCAAAACCTAGTGATCTAATTCAAAGTATGTGACATTCTACTTGGGTCACTGCCCCTTCACATCATGGTAAAAGGTTCAATTGTGTCCAAAGTAAGTTCAGCCAGGACTTAACACAAGTGTTTATAGCTGGAAAGGAAGCCAAAATTCCAGAGATGGCATGCAATGGGTGTCCCACATCTCCCATCTTGTCAGGATCTGGGCAAGCACCTTCTATTATTTTCTTTCTGTGGTCCTGATGATGGAACCCAGATGGAACCCTCTTACATGTCAGGCCAACACTCTTATCACTGAATGCCATCACTGGCCTTGACAAGACTTTCGGGGATCTAGTACTACTACTGTCTTACAGTTAATAGGATCAAAGCTGGAAAAGAATTTAGAAGCCCCCTGTTAGGTGCTCCCAACTGAACTTCCTCCATTGAGACAACGTTCAGTTTTGTTTGTTGGGTTTGGGTTTGGGGTTTTTGTTTTGTTGTTTGTTTTGAGACAGGTTTTCTCTATTATACAGCTCTGGCTGTCCTGGAACACACCAGATAGACCGACCAGGCTAGCCTAACATGCACAGAGATTTACCTGCCTCTGCCTCCAGAGTGCTGGGATTAAAGGTGTGCACCTGGCATATTCATAGCTTTAAACAATGCCTGGAGATTCTGGTCTATGGATCCAGAGTGGGCCTGGAAACCCATTTTTCCATCAGTTGTTCCTGGTGAACAGCTGGACACCATTAATGTCACCCAATTTCCTCCTGAACTTCATAATCCAGCTTCTACTAGTAATTTTGCTGACCAAGTTTTATGAAAACTCTGAGCACCACTGTCCAGTAGAATCTCCCATGATGGTGAAAATAAAGTGGGCACTAACTAGGCATAACTACTAAGCACGTGAGATGAGAGGGCTTGCCACATAAATGAGGCAAACTGCTCTTGTACTCTTATTCTGCACACGCTTGTTTTAGCCTAAGATTAACTTTTGACCAGCCCTCCTCACTACTGATCCTGGGAATTCACAGTCCACTACAAGCCCTACATATTTTCTCTACGTTGGCTTTCCTCACACTGTGCACCTACATAATTCTAGCTTAAAGAAAGAACTACACCTTAACCTCTGTTTTCACTTACAGAGCGCCACACACTCCCCGCCTATACTCAAATAATCAGGACAGCTTGCAACTTATTTTCCAGCCTGAGCAACCTACTTGTTTGTCCAATCTCTTAAGAAACGCCTAGAGCAATGCTTGCTCCCTTGAGAACATCGGCATCCTGAATTGCCTGCAGTCTCTATGGGAAAGGGTATAGTCACAGTGATGCAACCTGTTTTGACAACTTACAAAATCCTCTGCCATTTCACCAGTCAAATTTGAAGGGTATTCTCTAACTCTCCCTGTATTTGCACACCAGACCACAGGGCCTTGAATCAGATAAAAAAAAAAAGATACCAAGAATGAACTGTGAACTCTGTAGAAAAAAATCTATAGGCTCCAAATCCATGGGGTACGAGCAACCTTGGGTGCCAAGGAAGCACAAAAGCCAAATAGCAACAAGTTTCATCTTTTAAAGTGATGAAACCACAAATTTGCTCACTTTTCACATTCCTTCCTCCTAGAATCATATTTTTTTATTTTTTGGTTTTTTTGAGATGGGGTTTCTCTGTGGCTTTGGAGGCTGTCCTGGAACTAGCTCTTGTAGACCTGGCTGGTCTCAAACTCACAAAGATCTGCCTCTGCCTCCTTCGTGCTGGGATTAAAGGCATGCACCACCACTGCCCAGCCATTTTTTTATTCTGAAAAAAGAAGTTAATGCCTTAATTGAGCAATTAAAGAAAAGTAAGTTAACAGACACATTTGAAGACATAGGCAGTGCTCAGATGAAAACATCGTAACCCCAGTTCTCTTCTTCTCAGTCTTAAATTGGAAAATGGGAATAAGACCTGACTGATACTTTTACTCTAAAAGCCTTCCAAAGCTTACTAAACACTGTGGTCAAATCCTCAATGTATTCTTCACTTCTAAATAGTTGCATACATTAAAACCTAAAGCCTTCTCTTCCTAGACAGAAGGGTGTTTCAAAAGATAGTTCACAGTGTAAGGATTACTCTTTCAATGAAGTTCCTAAAGCATTTGGCAAACCAATGTCAAACAGTAACTCTAAAGGGTAGTGGCATGGTAAATGCCCCACTCATCTGTGTCCCACACTGAATAAAAGGATTAAACAATTTAAATTCTGTGCAGTTCATTCGGACATCCAAAAGCTCTAACGCCAAAGCTTACTTTCAAAGCATAATTCTGAAAGACGCTTCTCAATCGTGGTCCAGCTGCCAGTTCCAGCCTTCATTTACTTTCGTCTCATTTTTTCAGTCTGTAACTTTACTCAAAACATCTCATTCACAGCGACCTCGATAACATCTCCAGTCAAACAGAGTGAATGCTGCTTTTCCTGCAAATCAGGAAACTCTCCAAAGTACTGCTAAGGGCCCTTCCACCCTTGTATTAAAATCTTGTTTTCCGTCTTCTGTTCTGAAAGCCCAGTAATCCACCATTCCATTCTGAGGTGTGTCTAACACTCTGATATTGCAATCCCCCATTGTCATCTACAAAATTCACATTCAACTATGTAATCAAACAAAAAAAAAAAAAAAGGAAAGAAATCTCAATGCTTTTAGGCGTTCATAATTTTGTGTTAGGCTTGCAGGTTTTAGCAAGTCTAAAGTTTACTCTAACTTTCTGTTTGTTTCTACTTTCTTTAGATTCCTTGCTTTATTTTCTGCACTGAAGATCAAACACAGGACCTTAGGTAGATGTACTAGGTAAGTGTCCTATCTCTGAGCTCACAACCTTCAGATTTCTTTACTTCACAAAACTTTCCTGATTCACATTCAACCCTGGACCCTTATGGTAATCAAGAAGATAAACGGACAAACTACTAGAAATTACCACAAACACAAATACAAGTGCTGATGAAAGAGACAAATGGGAATGTTAGTGTAGAAAGGAAGGTGGGTGGCAAGAAGTCACTTTAGAAGCAACCATTACAGATCACTAAAGAAAGATAGAAGACAGAAGAAAACATTTACAAACATCGAAGTCAAAACCATGTAAGCACAAATGTAAGACACTGGGAAAAAAAATCAGGTGGAAAGAGACAATTTTGGATCTAATTTGTAGTCATTAAGGAAGTAGTCCCCACAGAAAACTAAAGAAAAAATATAATTAAATATGTCCCTTTGCCTGGGGATCAGAAGTGTCACAGCAGCTGTTCTAAATGTTGGGCCCATCTACCAAGGGTCCCCATGTACAGGGTGCCCTGGCTTCAAAACACTGTACCTGAGTAGGGCCCTCAACTGCTCCATCCTTTTTCCTTCTTCTCCTAGTTTCTGCCGTTTTGCCTGTCCATCCTAAAGACTCACCAGCCACTAGTAATTACTTCACAATATCCACAATAAGCAGGGTGAACAATTTGTTCCAAATCTACCCACATTTAGCAAGGTGAGTCCTAGAAAAAGGGACCTCAAAGCAACCTAAAATGGCTGATCTCCCTAGTCAAGACCCATACTAGCACTTTCCTGTTCCTCAACAAACTCCTTTCCAAAGCCAAAGCATGTTTTATGTTCATCTTATTATCATAGTCAATAAAGCTCACCATCAGAAGCAAAAAACTGTCTGTCATCCAGTATGTACCACACTGCTAGTGACCAAGTAAATACTATCAATATTTCTAGCACATAAGTTAATTCCACAACTTGGAGGCTGATCTAAAATTTCAAAAAAAAAAAAGCCTGAAAAATGAATTTTAAATGTCTTATATTAGGGCTTAAGGAGCATGCTTAGCCTTTAGCTAATAAGAGCATTCTTAAATACTGTAAGAGTGGGGCCAAAAGGGGGGAAAACCCTTTAGAGAATTACTAATCGTCAGTAACTACTGTCCCTATCAGAAAAACTGCCAACAATGTCATGTCGGTTCTCTTCTCCGAGGTGAGGACTACAGACTGCACCTACAGTAGGTGCAGAAGAGGATCTTCGCAGGAGAGAGACCCCGCATCTTTTCTGACTCCCCTTCAAGGAAAGTGTCAGGCTGGGCAGTGGCCGGGCGGCTGTCCCAGGAGTAACAGAGGATCCAGCAAGGACAAGTCGGGAAGATGCCAGAAGGCGATGACTCCAGCGGCTGGGGTGCGAGGAGGGACAGGGAAGGCCGGCAGCAACGCGAGGGCGGACAGCCCGGGTGCGCGCGAGGCCTCGCCCCGCAGATGCCTCCTTTGGGTCAGAACCCCGGACCTCGGTCAAAGTGGGGCTAATGAAGAGGCTTCTCGTCCACGGAGAGGATGGTCCCCGTTCAGGTTCGGCCTACCTGCCCTCCTTGACCTCCGGGGCCTGGCCATCGTCCGTGACGACCTGCGGCCGCAGGGGCCGGCGCTGCCGCAGCCCATCTGCCTCGCTCATCTTGCAAACGAATGACTGGCGCCACCGCCTCCGCCGGAACTCAGCAGCACGGGTTCCAGAACCGCCCCACGCACACACACCCCGGCGCGCGGAAATGACGTGAGGCTAGCGGCTGAGATGCATGGGGGCCCCGCCCCTTTCGGGAGATTGGCACCGCGGCGTGTCACCACCCCCCCAGCCTTGGCGAACGGCCGCTGGAGAACGGTGAAGGTTCTCCTTCATCCCAAGCCTGGATGCTGAGGCCGCAGCCGGGGTCTCCCTCACGTCTGTGTGCTGGCCTTGATGTCTGCAGTAACACGCGTGAAAAGAGAGGATGCCACTGATTCTTCACCAACTGTGTGAAAAATGACGCGTCCATCCCCTTGGAGTGCAATAATCCCCACCTGAAAATCACTCTTTTCTGAAACGATTTCCGCAAAGGTTCAAAATGTTTCCTTTTGGTTAAGATCAGATGTTGACTACTAGATCTAAAAGTGGTTATACAACAGACATTTGAATTTCTAAAGGGAGTTATCTTTAAGTAAAGACAGGACCAAGCAGAAAAGACCGCTAATAACAAAACTCTAGGAATCATGAAGCAAGCAGCAGGTGGTGCGTCCACAGCATTACAACGAATCAAACATGCTCCAGCAGCCGAGGTGAGCACACCACAGATAAAGCCCCTCCTTTCTGGAACTAATGGGAGCCATGACTTCAATAAATGTAAATTGTAATACAGTGGTGGCTTTAAAGAAAGAAACTTGACCTTGTGGAAGCATTTGACCAGTGAAGGAATGGGATATGAGGGTAGGATTGGGAGGGAAAGGCAAGGAAGAGAAACCTTTCAGGCGGAAGACACAAAGTCCTGTCACTTTACGGCACTGGGAATGATCTCTAGGATACACGTGTTCAAACTGCAGCCACTAAAATTTTCTTGCTACACTTTGGAGGTTTTGCAAAAGCATACATGCCATTATCTTCAACACGAGATGGCGCTAGAATGCCACCCTAATGTTCTACTTTTCTTCTCGCTTGAGGGAAGTGGAGATTTCTTAACACCCAATTCTGTAGGGATCCCAGGTTATATAATTCAGGCCTTGACACCATTCTACTTGATTCCATCATTGAAGACAGACAGTATCATGGGTAATTTTAACAAATGTGTGATCTGGCACCTTCCTGCTTGCCTGGATAGCTTGCCATTTCTGATTCCATGTCTCTGACCTTGTCATATTTATTCTTATTTCCTTATGATACATTTTTCTTTCACCTCCACCTAAACCTTTTTTTATAATCCAGAATCTACTTCAAGTATCATTGCTGAAAATCTCTTCTTCAATCCCCAGAGCATCTTTCTCTCTGGGAAGCTCTTTGACCATTCCTGACCTGTCCCCAGAAGCCTATTACATCAGTTATGTGTAGCTCATGCCCAGTGTTAAATGAAAGCACATGGACCAAAGCAACCAGGAACAAGCACACTAAAAATAATAAAAGAATTGAATACACTGAACTTGCTACATAAAGGAATTCACCAGAGGACTCGTGAGCCCCTCAAAAGAGGGCAGTTATGGAAGGCTGCTCAGGAAATTTGGGGCTAAAGTTAAGATGGTCTTGAAAGGGATTGGTTAGAATGTGTAAACTAGGAGGGCATCTGGAAGAGCCAGCTGTCTGTGTAGCCAGCGTTTCAGTGGAAGTAGGCTGCATCTTAAGTCCCAGGATGGGGAGTGGTCTCACCAGTATTTCTCAACCAAGGGCTATCTTGTCCCTTAGAGGCTTAAAGATATTTTTTAAAATTATCATGTGTTTGTAAGCTCTTGTAAGAGCTCTTGTTTCTAAGAGCCTCTGGTCATATCTCTGAAACACATGAGTCCACAAAGAGTTACTGGGGGGTGCACTCATGGCCTTATCTTGGAGCACATGAGACTGACTGAGCTGGGGTTAGAAAGGCTGAGCTTCGGTTGGTTGTGTTATGCAACACAGCTTAGGAAGTTTTCCGTTTGCATGTGGTGGTAAAGTCCATTTTACTTGTTGTGTCTTGTTTTAGTGCTCTATTGTTCCGTTCCACCCTCCGGCCCTTCAACCAGCTTCACTGTCTCATTGTAACAAATATTTGCACCGAGAGGAATGGAGCCACCATGCCTGCTTAGGTCAGGTTTCTCCACTTCAGCACTCCTAACATTTTGGACTAGATAATCCTTTGTTGTGGAGGTGGAGTGGGGCTTGTGATGTGCAGTATAGGATGCTTAGCGCCACCCCAGCCTTAACCCTTTACATGCCAGTAGCAACCCACCTCGATTTGTGCTAGAGTTAACCTGGGCCTCCAAAGGCCCATGTGTTAAAGTTTGGTCCTTGACATGGGTGATACTTGGAGGTAATACTGTGTTAAGAGGTTGGCCGTACTGGAAGGTCGTCAGGTCACTGGAGGCATGCTCTTGATGAGAACTATGGGACCTTATCCCTTTTCTCTCCCACTTTTCTCATTTCTCTGCAATGGAGTAGCAGTTGCTCCACCACACACCTCCACCATACTGTACCACCACAGACCCAACGCAGTTGTGGCCAACTGATGATCAGCTGGAACCTCTAAAACCTTTTCTCTATATAAATTGATGCCTGAGTGTTTGTTTTTGTGACAGGAGCTTACAAATACATGATAATTTTTTAGCATCTTTAAACCTTGCCAGATGTTCGCTAAGGGACAAAATAGCCCTTGATTGGGAAACACTGGGTAAGACACTCCCTATCCTGGGACTTAAAATGCAGCCTACTTCCACTGAAACACGAGCTACATAGACAGCATTCATCCCAACAAAATGGTGCTATCCCAGGATAGAAGAAGAAGCATGCGGTATGGAGCAGCCTTCTCCCAATGTGCTAAACTAGAGGGGAAAAGTTAAAATAAACACCATCGGGAATCCCAGTCCTAGACTTTAACACCCTAATCTCATACTGTTTCAGTTCCTCATACAGGTACTTCCTAAGCCTGCAAGGTCTCAAGTGCTGTTACAAAACCAGGGGCCAAGATGAGCCAATATTCACTGTTGTGAATAGGGAGGGAAGGTAGAAAGCATGAAACTATTTTAAAGGATTATAAATATTATCAAGGACTGTCACCTTCGGGGAGAAGCTGTGCTGACAGATAGGAATAACAAGAGGAGCTTGTACACTAACTCTGTGTAAATAAGATTCCAGTTGATGAGTTGGAAGGGGATAGAGAAGGGCAAGAGACAAAGTCGGAGGTTTGGTGAGCCCTGAGATTGGTGACCAAGGGGATGATGTCCAAGGGTAAGCTTCAGGGTCACTGACTGACCAAAGAAAAACAGTATGAAAGGGGCAAAAAATTATTAGAAAGTGGAAGGAGAGGCCTGGAGAGATGGCTCAATGCTTATGCATAGTTGCTACTCTTGCAAAGGACTCGGGTTCAGTTCCCAGCACCCACATGACAGCTCACAACTGTCTGTAACTCCAGTTCCATAAGATCCAAAGCACTTTTCTAGTCTCTGTGGGCACCAGGCACATGTATGTGCACATACCTACATGAAGACAAAGCACACACATTAAATGCATAAATAAACAATTTTGGGGAGTTTCGCAAGATACGGTTTCTCGGTGTAACAATTGTGGCTGTTCTGGAACTCACTTTGTAGGCTAGGCTGTCCTCAAACTCACAGATCCACCTGCCTCTGCCTCCCAAGTGTTGAGATTCAAGGTGTGTGCCACCACAGTCCAGCTTAAATAAGTAATCCTTAAGTGGAAATAGCAGTGGCCTACTGGGAAAGAGCTTCCAGGTAAGTTGCCACATCATAACAGGAAGCTCTGGTTTCAGTGCAGGTAGGGCAGAAGAGAGTATGAGGCTCAAGAACATAGACGGACGAACCTATGCTCAGCTCACAGAAGCAGACAGCCACAAGAGCCAGCTTAAGATGCAGAAAGGCTACCCATGATGATGCTACATTGTATTTCCCAACTAGTCAGGAGGCTGAGTCAGGAGAGTCACTGAAGCCTGGGAGTGTGAGTCCAGCTTAAGCAACACAGCAAAGTCCATCTCAAACATAAATTGGAAAGAACAATCAGGAAGGCTTATTAGCAGGACAAGGGGAGATTCTACAGAACATGGGCGTAGAAAGAATAGCCAGGTCTCATGGGACTGGAAGGGGATATGAAGGAGGAAGAGAAGGAGGAGGGAGGAGGGGAAGGAGGAGGGAGGAGGGGAAGGAGAAGAAGAAGAGGAGATGACGATGACAGCTACAACAACAAAGAGCAAAGTGTGTTCCTCCTCACCACGCACCACCAAGCCCCAGCAGGTACAGCCTTTCCATTTTCCCTAAGCTTCTTTGGCAAAGCCTGCAGTTTGGCTCCTCTCCTTCCATTGTGAAACAGTAAAATGTCAACTGCTGCCATTCTAGCCTGTGACAGTAAGGTGCCCACAGGCAAGGATCTTGCCATAAAATAAATACAGAAGTGTGGGAGTCCCTTT